TTCTTTAAGTACTTCGTTTCTACACAATTACCAGTAATTTTTATCTTAATACACCTATTATTCACAAAGTTATTGACGAAAAACTGTAACATCGAAAGTAAAAATTCCCTATTATATAATTCTAATAATTCTTGACTACTTAATATAGCCGTCCCTTTCTAAAACTTTTACCATCCCTTCCTAATTATTCTGGAACTTTCGATAACGGGATGTTTGTTTGTATTTTGTGGAGTGCGATTGGTCGATTAATATATAGTCTTATATTTCAAATTACGAAAGAAAGAGAGGACAATACCTTTCTTGCTTGTTTCATTGATAAAGTTAATACTAAGTGAGATAGCACGATTTGATACACTCTTATTCTATGAGAGTCTTTTGCTCATTTCACTTTAAACACTGCACTAGACACTTCACAGCGGGTCACGTTGCGAACATTCTCCCGCCGTACAGAACGTTTACGCTTCTGTATCCTCTGGTCTGGTGCTGTATTTTCTGTGTAGGTCGTCTCAGCACGCTGCCTTTTGTCTGCACGTCGACAAGTCGTATCAGGTTGTCACGACCTGGGTGCTTGTGCCTTGATTATGCCGCGTGGCCAGGTGTTGCGAGGTAAGGACGTCGCCTATCTTCACGGGTTTCCCATGACAGTGGGGCTCCCGCCGGTGTTGCAGTTCGGGTAGGCATTCCTTCATCCACCTCTCCCAGAAGATGTCTGCCAGGCGCTGCGCTTGGCGCCACTGGCACTGACTGGTCAGGTCCGAGTCAGTGAAGCTGCCGGGTGCTGTCACTAGGCCCGCCCCATCCAACAGGAAGTGGTTGGGGGCCAGGGCTTCCGGATGCTCTGGAGCTACTGACACGTGTGAGTGGCCTGCTGTTCACTGTATATTCGGCTTCACACAGCAATGTAGACAGTACCTCTTCTTTAGGGCTCATTTCTTTTAGAACACTGTAGAGAGCCGATTTCACTGTTTTCACTAGGCGCTCCCATATGCCAGCCATGAAGGGAGCAACAGGACAGGTGTAGTGCCACACTATCCCTCTCGAAGATGCTTTTTATTTAACGTAGGTACCTACGTTAAAAATAGTCTTTTAGAAGACTTTATATTCAGCTTACTCTAAATCAAAATGGAGGAGCTTATTTGATCTAGTAGTCGTAGTAGTAGATCTCTATTTCTTTAATTAATTCTCTAATTATATTTATTTAATTAATAATAACCGGATTCGAATGTTTATTGGTTTCTTGATTATTTCAGGATATTTTCTTCTTTAAATAATTGTTTTAATTGATTTTATTGCGGTGTTTTAAGAAAAATAATGTTTTCTACATAACGTACTTCCCCATACGCCTATGCCCAGCAGTGGACGTCTTTTGGGCTGAAATGATGATATTTCCCCATACAAAGTTATAGAAAAAACAAACTGTCAAATTGGCATACCAGCGACTTAAAAATTAGCATTAATAAAACTTAAAAATTAAACATACTTATTATAAAAAATGTGCATTAAAAGCGAGAGAAAAAATTAAATCTTTTCTCAACATTTGAGTAGAGTACAGTCAGACTTTTGAGCATAGAACTATAATAAAAAATAAACTTAAATTCAATAGCAAATATTACAATAATAAACAAGATAATAGTCTTGCTTGAGAAGTCAAGTTTTGTTATTAAACCAACGATTTTGGCTTATTAATGCTAAGATTTTAACAATTGAAATGTATAAAAGTAAAATACATTGCTTTTAATTTGAAGATCAATTCATCATTGTTTCATCCTTAGTTAATTCGGATAAACTTAAGAAACTAACTTTAAAACGATTGTGATAAATATTTAAAAATATTTACAAGTACATACCCTACCAAAACAGATTAGGTGTCAAGTAGCAGCGACAGAGCGTCGCGCGTCGCCGGTGCAGACTTGTCTCCAAACCTAGGTAAAGCCTGCATTCACGCTTAAGTGTTTAATTTTAATATGTTACTTACATAGCAATAACAGCTCGTATGATTGACGCTAATAAGAGTCAATATTCATTATTAAAATAACGCTGTTGTTAAATTTTGTTTTAAAAATATATGTGTATTTGCGGTGAAATAAGCTCCCTTACAATTCGAGGGCATATAACGGCCTGAGCCAAGCATTTTAAATTATTTTACATCGTGAAGTGTTCTTTTGCTGGTGGTCGTGAGAACCATCATGGAGTTAAGTATGTGCGTAACTTATTCATCTCGGCTCTTTGCGCGTATGGCAACATAGCAGTCAAGATATTTTTTTATTATTGTTATGATTAACACAAACTTTGTTTTGCTTTGTATGCCAGCGAGTTAATATTTTCTTGATTATTTTTGTATAAATGTTAGTACACCATTATAAAACCAATTAATTTCTGTTTCAGGTTTTCTAATCCCTTTGAATCGGATGCTGAAGTCCAGCCCTCAACTTCCCAAGTTCAGACGCATAAGAAAAAACCGAGCAAGCCTGCTAAAGCTTCGAAGCCCAAGTTATCTTCGAAGTCGAAATAACGCATTTTGAGAGCGACTCTGAATCGGAGACTGATCGTGCATCGACAGCGTTACTTCCAGTGGCGCCAGTTCCTAGAAAACAAAAGGCCCGTCTATTTTTAGATTCTGAGGTGAGTTATTATTAAATTTAAAAATTAGCGTTAACCTATACTATTAGAATTCCATTTTGTCTGTCTATTAATCGTAATGTGCAAAACGAACATTTATTTATTTATTATTACACAGTTTAACTTTCGTGTTTAAGCCATCATCGGAACGCTAGTAGAATGATAATTCATTCTCAAGACTAGCGTTCCGATGATATCAGTATATTATCAGTAAACTTCATCCTGTGAACAAAAAGCATTTCTTTTTGTTCACAGGATGAAGAGCCAGAACGCGAATCTGCGAGCAGCAACATTAAATAGTTATATTTCACGTCGAACAGGCTCGGAATACACTCACCAAAGCGATCCTGCTGCAAGAGGAGAATATTACATAGAAGTCAGAATATCAAACTTCAGCGAGCTGGAGGCAATTGAAACCAATCGCTGGCAGCATTCGTTGATCAGTTTCAAAAGTGCTGTCGATGAAAAGACGCCACCTTGGATTGCTCTCACCCAACTGGAATCAGCAGTCCGCGAAGATTACAAAACCGTGCAGCCCATTCTATATCCAGCCAAACGTTAAAACATACTGTTTGAAGGGACATTTACATTTTAAGTTTATATTACTTTCTATCTCATAGTGTCATATATTTTCAATATACGAGTATACTCATTTTATCAAGACACGTAGCCGGTATCTAATTTAATTAATTTAATTGTGTGTTTTTTTCAGAATCTACTTTGTACATAAAAAACAAAAACCTAACCTAAACCTAAACTAAGAAATCTATATTACAAAACAAACACACTGTTTGAATGGACATTTACATTTAACTTTATATTACTTTCTATCGCATAGTTCCATATTAAGAAAGTCGGCACTTTGAAACATACGGCCTCTATCAGCCACAATCAGCTTAGGAGTCCCAAATAAGGAAATAGTGTTCGTGACACAACGCTTCAACTGTGTCAAAAATGTCTTGCCGATACATAGGATACAGGAGGCAGAATTTGGAAAAGGCGTCATTGGCTATGAGAACATAGCGATAACCGTCTACCTCAGGCAGAGGTCCCAAAGTTTTCTCCCATGAATGAATAGGTGGCAGTAGTGGTGGTGGTGGTGCTCGGGCAAACTTTTTGTGAGAAATGCATATTAAGCAGTGCGCTACATATTTTTGGACAAATCCCCGCAACCCCGGAAACCAAAAGTGTTTTACTATTAAATCAATCGTTTTATCTCCTCCTGGATGGTCATACTCGTCATGAAAGACGCGAAGAAGGCTAAATCTATGGCCCTTTGGAATGTAGCAGAGGAGTCGAGAGGGTTCATCAGCAGGTGAGAATTTAAGTAACCAAGTAACCAGTTGCGTCCAATTGTCCGTCATTTAATTTTTTGAAAATTAAAAATCGTCTTACGTCCTTTCCGTGTTTTAAGCCCTAACCAATCAAAATCATTAAGTTATGGTAGTAGATAATAGAGCGTAAAGTTTGAATTGCACACAAGCTAAAACGTAGCGACCTCGGTACCCGATCTTACATACCGTCATGACGGTCATGACTGGGCATGACACATCTCTCCTTTTTTCCTATAACTATGAGTAAGACACAAGACATTTAGAGGGTGGAAAAAAATAAAGACACGATAACATAATGCGCTTTTATTTGAGCCAGTTATATAATATTTTTTGAGCTCTATTTTTATGTTCGTTGTTATTGAGAATCCGCCAGTTTCTTGACGTTATAATTAAAGCTGGGCAAAAGTGTAAGGATTGGAAATTAGTCTCTTTATAAGGATAATATCATTACCGCGAGACCACCCGGTCCCATATACGAGTACCTCAGGAACTTTTTTTGTTTCAACGTAATCGTAGTGATTTTCTATTATTTTTGTTGGCGTCTATTGATATTGTTACTGTCGTGGAAAGACTATGAAAAGTTCTTTGGTGTTTATCTATCTCTGTGCCATCGAGTATTTTTCCATCCTCTAAGAAGAGTATTTAATAAGAGTGCGCTCTGTGCTTTTCTGCCAACCTAACAATCCCTGTCAGTCGCTGACTGGTATTTTTCATAAGGGATAGAAAAAATAAAGGTTTTAAAAATTAATCTCAAATAATGCTTATTTTCTCATAAACTGAAATCCGAAGATTGGATTGGACATCGTTAAGTCGATAGAGTACAATTCAGAGTCTTAAAACCTAAAGATTAAAAAATCCATTCCATGTAGTCACATTCCGAAAAGTGAAAGCAAAGTGGGCTATTATTTGAGATAAATGATTAAATATTATATCATAATCAAAAGAAACAAATGTATAATGTTGAAGAAACATTAAGAATAACCAATAATGAAGGAAAAAGTAAATAAAAACGAAATGTGAAGTTCACTTGATACCTATTCAGTAAACATGGTCATCGACTACTGTTATTACGCTGATTATGTGTCGGCTGCCTTAGCGTGTTGGAAATACAGTCTGTTCGGTGAGCCAGTGTACTCGAGCGACCTAAGTTCCATAGATTGTGATGGTTCCGAGAAGCGCGTCTGTGCACACCGCGCGCCGACATGCGGCACTTTAGAATGCACATGTGACAAACAGTCTGATGCGGATATTGTCAAGGACGTTAGTAACGAAAGCGGTCCTGTCCGTGTACGTATCCACTACAATAGATAGTAGGTAAAATAATATTCCACTACAGCCTGCAACCCTAAATCAGGGTTGTGGCGTTTTTAATTATTACCATCATCATAGTTAACACAGTTCCTTACAGAATAGAATTTCAGGCCGTAGACAACCACGCGGGACTCGTGTTGGTTCGGAACGTCACGTGTCTTCCAAGGGTCCTGTGAAACTCCGACATCGATGTTTTACACCGGTCAGCCAAGTGACAATTAATGAACTAAACTGCATATGTATGTTTTCAAACACCAACGTTTCGGGCTCTTTTTCAGGACCCATGGGAAATTTGTATATAATCCAAAATACAACAGGCCCTCCATGTTGATGGAGTTAGGCTCCCTTTTCTATACCATTATGTTTAATTGTAGGCTGTAGCAGTTAAGACAGGGACAGCGACCGGAATTATGGTATTCACTCTGTGGCATGCCGCCGTCCTGGCCTTCTTCTACTTACGGTACGCACTTTTTTCGTTCATGATCTACTGATAATGATTAAACTTTGAATTGAATGTCTTACTATTATTTTAGATTACTACAAGGTTTACTACAAAGTTTTATTTGTACAAAGCCTCGCAGTACGACTGGCTACATCGACATTGCACGCCCCCTTTGGACGAAATTCGCAAAGATTTAGGAACAACTTGCGTTCAGAAGCATATTGTACTTTAGTAATGTTCGAATCGGGTTATAGCGTCACAAAGTTTGAAAAAAAACCACGACATTTTAACACGAAAATGATACCACTTCAATAAGAAATGTGAAAAATAAGCGATAAATGGAAACAACGTATTTCATCACTTTTTTCAGTTTGTGATGATAGAGGAACTAGAAGGACGTAATGTATGCAATCAAAAAAAGGAGAATGATGAAGTATAACAATAAGTTTATACCAAAAGAACCTGAGAGTGTTATTATGCAGGTGAGTTGAGTGGTGTGGCGCAAATGAAAGTGTACGGTGTAGGATAGATAATAGTAAGAGAGATAGGAGAAGTTCATCCTCCAAGGTTGGAGACCGAGGGCGGAGGAGCAGAACCGGAGCGCAGCGGGTTCGGCGCGGAGGCAGTGAGTAGAGTGGCTGCACCGACAGCGGCAGTAGTGCAGCAGTGGATTTTATCACTTTGTACTCGGAGGTGGAATTCCACTTTGTCTTGAGCGTCGGCTTCAGACACTCCTGCCGCTCCAAACTCGCTTGTTGAAGGTGAGGTACACAGTCCAGGTAGGAGGAGCGTAAACGTGAACACCAGGTTTAGCGTGAGGCAGTCGAGGAACTGGTCATCAGGCAGGCGCGTAAGCGCAGTAGTAGTTGTCAGAGCATTGATGTGCAATCTTTTAAATACTGACCGGTGTGACATTGAGAGTTATTCTTTGAAATTTACTTCGTTACCTAGCAGAACTCTCTTGTCTTGTCTCATGTTAAGTTGTGTTTTATTCACGTTATATATAATTTAATAAAAACCTTTATTAAAATATTGAAATCAGTTTTCTCATTTATTGATAGAGCCGAAAGAGCTCTATCAGGTTATGGGAACCAGCAGCTACTAAAATATTAAGTGAACAGATTTAGTACAAAGAATGTACGAACGTGATTATGTGATATGAATCATAGAGAGATTAATGGTGAGATTAAACAATACCTACAAAAAAATTCTCTAGTTAGAGAACTGAGTACTATGTCAGGTCTGGACTTTTTGGGATTGAGAAGCTACAAGGAAGTAGCAACTTTAACAGTTGGAAGTTTGATATTGAGTGCATATTATAGTCCACGATGATCTATGGCAATATGTTGAGAGTCCGCCCGCTGTTGATAATCCAGTTGCTAAGCGAGGTGATCAAAAAGCACGTACAACAATTTGCCTACTTATTAAGAAACCTTGTAAGGTACATGTACGCAAAGCAACAACGACGTATGAGATGTGGAAGAGTCTGAAAGCAGCATATGAGGGCAAAGGTATTAAGAACAGATGTAGGCTGCTATCGAGGCTGATATGTGTAAAGCTTAATATGTTCAATTCGATATCCGAGTATGTAACAGAGCTAATGAGAGTAGCTAATCAACTGTCAGACCTTGGGAAAGACATTGATGATGAATTGTTAGCGGCATTGTTGCTCCAGGGATTACCAGAGGAGTATATGCCTATGAGGTTGGCACTAGAGAATAGCAACATAGCATTAAGCACTAATTATATAAAAACAAAACTGCTTCAATTAGATAAGATCAAAGTTTGCGCAGGTTCGAGCACTCCAGGGCAGAGTTCGGCATTTACTACAGTGAAAAAGTACAGAAAACCTGTTCAGAGGAACAAACAAAACAAGATCGTGAAGTGTTTCATATGTGATGGACTACATAATGCTTACGACTGCCCGCAGAATCCACGTCAATCCAAGACGAGTCGTATGGCAACGGCACTGACTTCTGTTCAAGAACAGAACAATGAATATGAATGGATTTTAGATTCCGAAGCATCAACACATGTGAGCTATAGGAGAGGTTGGTTGGATCATTTTATGAAAGTAGGAAGGAAGGTAGAAAGGTGTTGCGCCAGTGGAGGTAAAGTGTATGAAGAAGATTTTGGTACAATAAAGAATGGCATTACCCAAGGAGCACACTATATACGCCTTAAAACTGTTATATCTATAAACAGTCTATGTTATAGATTTAGATAATAGTTCTCTATAAATGGTTTTTAAGAAAAAAGAAATTGTTCTTATAGACTTATTTCACTCGAGTTAAAATTTTAAAACCTTCTTAATACCAAACAACTTCATTAAGTGTATCTCTCTTAAGATTTACTGTTATAGTCCTTATTTTAAGTTCATCTGTAGAACAACTGATTATTTTTAGTAAAATTGTTCTATACACATCCAGTAAAGTCTATTAATACTCCAAAGTCTAGTGTTCTTAAGTTTATTCCAGATATATTTAATTTATAGACATTCAGTAGTGTTTGTATTTATTGACAAACACGTTATAGCGCGTCTTCATTAGATTTCATTTAAAAAAATACTACAATTAGGGTTTTTACTCTATTGGACGTTGTAAGAGTTCATACAAAATGGATAAAGAATATTAAAAGATCTGGTGGAGGTGGTGAACCTTGGTGGTCACATCATTCGATACAATAAGCGTTGCCAATGCCAATTGTTCAAAATCTCCAAAAATCACGGTTAAAATCCCCAAATTTGGGGAGAGCAAAGTTCATATTCCCCACAAATTCCCCACATCTCGAGTTTTGATTATTTATTAAAAAAACATCGCTTAAAAATATAATAAAGAATTAAGTAACTCAAAATGTAATAATCTGTTACGTTTGCTGTGAATGTAAACAGAATGTAAAATGTAAAACTAATTATACGGTTAGATGACCTTCAATCGTTTATTTATTTTAATTAGATTCAACAATAATCTGTAATTAGTCTTTGAAAAAAAAATTTTTTTTCTTTACCTTACAAAATTAAATAAATTGATTATTTGTTGTGCATTTGGTGACACTACGTTAATGTTAGAAATAATCAATGAGTTTCGACCTATATTTAATATTTAAAGTTGACGAGTGGTAAGTTGTGGTGTGGAAGTACCAACTGCTCGGCTTTGTTTATCAATAGCTGATTGCGTTTTACTTCATACCGGGGTCCTGTATAACCGCTCACGCGATGCGCTCCTCCTATCGCAAAATGACGACTATTTGGTTTCGCAAAATAGAAAAGGATTCAGTTTAAATACAAGTTTTTATAAATAAAAATTATTATTCTGCATTGCTAAATAAATACCCTCCGTACTACCAACAAAAACATCTCAAATAAAATGCAGTAATACACCGCAAATCCTGCACTTAAAAAGCACTAATGGAATTTTTGGTGTACTTGGATAAATATGATAATATTCCGTTTGGGTGGTTCAAACGTTTACCATGAAATTACTCCTTAAAGTATAGTTTATAAATATTTATATACAGGGTAAACTTGTAAAACGCTACTTACGGTATGTTTTCAATAAATTAACACCGAAATCACCAGACCAAGCAATAACACACACGATTGTCGTGACGTATTTTTGAAGTTGTTTATTTTTTTAAATGGCAGACCAAGGCATTAACAACGTTATGATTTGCTAGAGTAGTTACCGAAATAGCAAATAATATTAGTTCTTTTACCTGTTATAACTTCGATATCCGATAAATCGGTATAAAATCATCACCGGCACCTCTAGGTGTGGTATGCGTCTACGGCTGCATGTATCGCGTGAGCGGCTAAGCGGGAGAAAGAATCGCGAACGCAACACGCACCGACTGTTAATTTTACAATTCAAAACCAAGTGCTCTAATAATAATTCTATTTAAGCTGTTCTTCTATTTAAGTTAATAATACGAGGGATGTGCGATGTTGAAAAACACGTCGATATAGTCCATCCATTTGTAGACAATCATAAAAGCTTCTCAGGAGTGAATATTCTTCTACAAGATCAACTACACTAAAGCAAGTATAAATAATCTTTTCGTATTCTAAAATTTTTCCATAGATAAAGCTATAGACAAAATGCTCCCTACAGTGTTTTGAAAAAAGCACCATTTTTATTTTTAAAGAATGGCTGAAGTAGCCGAGAAAATTTTCTTTTATTTTTAAAAAGTAAGTCTAAGTTGAAATTAGCTTGAAGAAGCCTAGAACTTCTTGGAAATGGTTTGTTTTGTGAGTTATTTTGTATATTTAAGCTTTCTATAAATATTTAAAATCGAAAATCGATAACTGTATTTTCATTAAGTTTATATTTTATACATAAATATCATTGACCTACCAAAGCTCAATGATAAATATTTAAAATTTGGCGAGCGCATTACTTTTATGACAGGTTTTACATCACTTTTCACAATGTATTTAAAGTCGCACGTCAATTCGCGCTTTCCAAACGATTAAACATTGCTCCAAAAGGTCAGAAATATTATATCTAATTTCACCATGTTGCATTTTGATAGTTTATATTTTGTAAGCCATTAAACTTAAAATCTATTAGTAATAGGGGTTAAAGTATGAAATTGCCGATTTGTACTGAAAATCTAAATTGTTTATTTTTTAAATTTTTAACAAATTTATTTAATCAAAATAGTTGCCATTATTATCTATACATTGCTGCCATCTAATGGGAAGGTTATTAATGCCTTTGCGATAGAACTCCGACGATCTAGACTGCACAAACTGTATGAAAGCATTTTGTACTGCCTCCTGGGAAGAAAACTTCTTGTCACGTAGATAATTGTCCAAATCACGAAAAAAATGGTAGTCCGTTGGAGCAAGGTCTGGTGAATACGGAGGATGACGAATGGTTTCTAACTGCAGTTCCTGAAGGGTCAAAATGGTTTCTCGTGCTGTGTGAGGTCTCGCGTTGTCGTGGAGCAATAATGGTGAAGATCGATTCATGAGTCGGGGCTGTTTTACTGCTAGTTTTGTCAACATGGTTCGGAGT